CCCCCAAAACCCCAAAACCCCAAAACCCCATATAAAGATGATATCATTGATGCTGTTAATAATAATTAGTAAAAATGAACAAAGAACAACAATTTGAAGAAAATTGATCTGATGAACTCCTTGATGAGCATGTCCTAGTCTCTAAAGTTAGGAAGTTATCTCATCTAGAAGAAAATATGGCAAGGTCACCATTTCATAATGAAATAGCCTTTAATAAGGCTTATAAAGCGTTAACGGTACGTGTTCAAAGAGATGCTTCATACAATCTATCTGAGAGTAAACAAAGCGAAGAAGTGGCTCCCCTTCGAAATCCAAAGAAACTTAAATCAGAAATGCTTCCTCCTAAATGTAAAATTCAGAACGACATCAAGAATTTGCTTCACCAAGTCATAGACATTCGTGAGAAATCCCACCGCTCTCCTGATTTCTCCTTTAACAAAAGGGCAGTAAAGCGAGATGGAAATATGAGAAGGAAGGCATACGCTAGAGAAATCACGATGAAAGATAACAGCATAGTTTACAATATTCTTATAGGCCCATTGATGATACTGACCGAATAGGTAGCAGCATCTCAATAAACTTCAGCAAGAACTAGCGATGCTGAAACTAGTAGTTTCAGACCGTATACTCGTTTGATATTCTTTCTAGACTCAAAACTTTGCTCAGTCTCTTCAGCAGTTATGTTCCTCATTCATGAATCAAAAATAAATTTATGAAATATTCGAAGTTATTCATTGCTTAAAACATGATTTATCTTCTATTTTGAGAGGGCATTTTAGGATGGGTACCTACCTACTTTGGGCATCGTGCTACTAGGTCTCCTCAGAAGCAGGCTTAAGGGATTTAGAGTAGAGGATGGAGGGAGTCTGATAGAGAAGGAGTTGGGGAGAATATGGGGGTTTTGGGAGTTTAGATTCATGGATTTTTTAAAATTTTGATGTTTTAGTGAGTATTTATAAAGGAGATAGCAAGGAAATTTTATGAAGAAAACCGAAATTCTGGGGATTTGGTAGAAATTTGGAGTTTTATTTATTCTTTTGATAAGTATAAAGCATTATTGAAGCAAGCAAATATATATACAAGGCTCCTCTGTCCTCCCATGCATTTTAGATATTTTACTAGGAAAATATAAAAATTTATTATAAAATTCGAGAATCAAATGAATCAAAAATTGCTCTTTTCTATACTAAAATAACTTAATTTTTAATTTTATAGGAGAAGTAAAATTTTGATTCATAACAGCATCAAGAATTGTCAATCTCTAAATCTTATAAGCAATTAAATTTATATTGAATTAAAACTGTTGTCCTTACTCTTGGCATGAACACCAAGCTCAGAAATAATGCCTATCTTATGGCTGTTGCTCAATCGACTTTATGAAAGACTTGAAATATTTGAAATCAATATTAGTACTATTCCTCGGGGTTTTGGGGTTTTGGGGTTTTGGGG